CTCTCTCCAGTAGCTCCTCGTCTTTCTTGAACTGGGGAGCCCAGCACTGGACACAGCACTGCAGATGAGGCCTCACCAGGGCAGAGTAGAGGGGAAGGAGAACCTCCCTCGACCTGCTGGCCACACTCCTCCTAATGCACCCAGGATCCCATTGGCCTTCTTCGCAGCCAGGGCACGCTGCTGGCTCATGGTCACCCTGTTGTCCCCCAGCACTCCCAGTCCCTCTCCGCAGAGCTGCTCTCCAGCAGGTCAGCCCCAGCCTGTACTGGTGCCTGGGGTTGTTCCTCCCCAGGTGCAGGACCCTGCCCTTGCCCTTGTTGAACCTCATCAGGTTCCTCTCTGCCCAACTCTCCAGCCTGTCCAGGTCACGCTGAATGCAGCACAGCCTGCCGGTGTATCTATCACTGACCTGGGCTGAGCAGCCCTCCCCAGACACACCCAGCTGACCAGGTAAGCAATTCAGATTTAGCCACGCTGCTCGTTACGCACAAAGCTTTATCGCTTTTCCATCCCTCCTTTCCCCTTCCCCACAGCTGATCCCTTCAGTTGAGTCTTCTCCTCTCTCACACCACACAGACGCCTGCCCAAAGCCATCTGGGGGTCAAGCAGTGCAATGGGCTGCCCTGGGAGCTTATGGGATCTCCATCCTTGGAGACTCCTGAAGTTTCCCTGAACATGACCCTGAGAAAGCGGCCTGCTTTTGGAGGAGAATCTTTCCGGATCTGTTTGCATCCTTCTGCGCTTTCCCTTTGCCCTCCCTTCAGCTTTCATTCAGTCGTCCTCACTTTTATACCACTTCACAGCCCTAAGCATCCCTACTGCCCCTACTTTCCACCCTCACCACCCCCAGGTCCAGCCTTCCATCCCACTGAGCCTTCTTCCTCAGGACTTGAAGCTCGATTACTTGCCCCATTCCCCCTCTCAGGCCTCTTTTGGGGACATCCATAAGCTGACCGAGGGCCGCAGGACAGATATTGCTCCCTCCTCCTTCATCCTTGTTGTTCAGGGCCCGCACTCTCCTCGTCCGCGGTAATGCCTGGCAGTGCTTTGCCGGCACCGCGCGGCAGCACAAGCGCACAAAGGATACTGTCTTCTCTACTTTTGTCTTGTGTGCTTTCCATTCCAGGCAGGGCAGCTGCCACGCGTCGGAAAAGCTGCAAAAAAAAAAAAAACAAAACACACAGGGAAGAGATCAAAACAGTTGTACTTTAAAGAGCGCACCCCAGTTGATCCAGTTCAAACAATGATTCAGTACATCCTCCGGTACCATTTACACTGCTCGCCCCAAAAAGCCCGACACCAAATATAACCTTTATTCTTTGGAAATGGCAAACCACGTTTCTGGTGTTACTGAAGATCAGATTTTACTGGCTACAGGCAGCAAACCTTCTCTGCAAACACGCTCTGTTTGGAATCCAGTGTCTCCACCTCACCTCCGCCATAGGTGTCCACGCACCCCAACAACCTGCCCGCATCAGGTGGGAGCTCAACCTTCACACCTCCACAGAGCAACCGTTCCGCAGGAGCACGGACACTGGAGAAGTCACACACAACATCCAGGAGTCGGTCACCAACGCTGGCCAAGCTGGCACACCCCAAAGAGTGTCAGTGAGGGGATGTATGTAATGACATCACCTAAACATCTTCTTCCAGGCTCCATGTATCCGTGGCTCAGGCTCCCGATGAACCAGAGCAAGGATCTTTCTTTCAAGCCTTTTCTGAGGGCCCTCAACTTTCGGTACCCGCTCCATCGCTATCACAAAATCACAGCATGGCAGGGGTTGGAAGGGACCTCTGTGGGTCATCTAGTCCAAGCCCCTGCCCAAGCAGGGTCACCCAGAGCAGGCTGCACAGGACCACATCCAGCCGGGGTTGGAATATCTCCAGAGAAGGAGACTCCACAGCCCCTCTGGGCAGCCTGGGCCAGGGCTCTGTCACCCTCAGAGGGAAGAAGTTCTTCGTCGTGTTCAGGTGGAACTTCCTTGGCTTCAGTTTGTATGTCTATCGTATGTCCAGCCCACACTCAGGCTACAAAACACAGAACAGAAGGACGCATCAAGCGAACCTGCAATCCCAAAGCAGACATCCCACCTCTCACTTGGACACTGTCGCCGGTTTCCCAGCAAGGTCTTAGCTCCAAACTCTCTTCCCAGTTTTATTCCACTTGAAGAAGGCTGAGAGATAAGACTGAACAGGACCAATTCCCTTCTCCTGCGTTTCCCACCTTTGCCCCTGAGGCTCAGACTTGTGGTTCCCACCGCATGGCTTTTCCCAGCCCAGCCAGGTGAGGAGCCAACAGATTTGCCCACTATTAATGCGTGAGGGTTCACTGTTTTCTGAGTTTCCTGAGCCCACAACAGTCTGTCTTCTCCCGTGTAGGAACGGGACAGTTAAGGACTGCCCTTCAGCCGAGTGTGATTTCTCCGAGAAGCTGCCATTTCACGCAAGTTTCCACAGTAACATTATCTTTTTCACATGTCTCTGCACACGTGGGCGCAGCAGGACGGGACGCTGGGACAGATCAGATGGATGGAAGGACAGACAGCACCTTGAGTGTTCACCAGGGTTATCTAATGGCTACCTAATTGTTTCCTACCTTTGATGAACAGCCCGAGTAGAGTTTTGATCCCGTGCTGATGCGCTCAGCACGCACATGAACACCTGACATACACTGCATTAATATTTTTACACCATTACAGACGTTGTGACTGCTGCATATTTCTTGCCTGCAGGTTCTCAAGCATCCCTGACACCAGATGTTTCCAGGCACTCCATGTCTCCACCTGTCAGCACACTAAAAGCACCGGGCTGCACGCCCGACAGCAGCTCGCGAGTCCCAAAATGCCCGGCGCAAGCCTGACGTCAGCCTCAGCGCGCTGAGTTGACGTCACTGCATGTTATTCCTGCCCTCTCCTCAAAATGACACAGAGCTAAACCACTTCTTCCCAGTGACCCACTTTCCACAGAAAACTGAGCCAAGCCACTGTCAGGCTGTTTATATTCTGAATGGAGGTGCCCCAACAGCTTTGCAGATCAGGGCCCAAGCGTTTTTGCAAATTTGGCCTTGAACGTCCACATGATGCTGGGAAGACACTGAGGACCTACTGGAGAGAGTCCAGCAGAGGGCTACGAGGATGAGGAGGGGACTGGAGCATCTCTCCTACGAGGAGAGGCTGAGGGAGCTGGGCTTGTTCAGCCTGGAGAAGACAAGGCTGAGAGGGGACCTTAGAAATGCCCATAAATATCTGCAGGGTGGGTG